ACGTTTTTTTTTGTTCTTGACGCTCGAGCGTTGTGTTTTCCGCTCGAGCGGGAATGTCGTATAACAGAGGGCAGCTGGGCATTTTTGAATCACTTTCTACACTTCCACTCTCTCTCTTACTTTCCCAAAAACGTTTTTGAGAGCTTCTCTCTCTAGAAATTCCCTTCTCTCTAGGGTTTGATCTAGTTAGAGTGCTTCCCTCCCCTTTGGCCTTTGTAAAAGTTGGGTTGATCGTCGAGGGCTACTTTTTGATCCGAGAAACTTGTGGTTTGGAGCATTTTGGTTTTCTTCATCCTTTTCTCTTGGGCTCTGAATTTGAGGTAGGGATACCCTACTCCTCTTTATGAGCTTTGTCTTTGAATTTTAGCATTTTGATATGTTGAGGTTGTTGGGTAATTTTGAGAAAGTTTGGGACTTTGTGTAATTTTACAAAAGATGGGGTTTTATTTATAATTAAACCCATATGCATGTTTGGCATAGAGAAATGATATAGATGATGAACTATGGATAAAAGTGGAACCTTGGGGTTGTTATGTTAATTATGGGAAAATGTCCTGATTAGTTGGATAAATTAATTTGTATAATTAATTTTGAGAAATGAGGAATTGAATTGAGAATATTCAAATTGAAAGGATTATGGGATTAACGGGTGTAGTTGGATTCATTTACTCGCTCACCCGAGTTGAATGTTGATAATATATCCATTTGGTGCATTTACTTTCTGTTTAGAAATAACTATTTTGGGCTATCGGTGGAGGATAGTCTTGATTGTTGTAGACAATGCATGATGATTAGGCAAACTAAAACTAATCAATTGAGTAAGCCATTGAATATGGTGGTTGGTACAATATAGCACTAAAATGTGTATTGATTGATTTAAATTTGTATATGTTAATTGTTTCTATACATTGCATTGTGTGGGAGGAGATTGGGGATGTACTCCACGGTTTATTGGAAGATGAGGGATGGACCTCTAAACCGGATTTCGTGTGACATTGATACAGGACTACAATGTGTATCAAGTGTTGATTATGGAAGTGTTTAAGTGTTGATTATGGAAGTGTTTAAATTGATTTGATATAGCACTAAAATGTATATCGTTATCAATTGTGAAGTATAGAAGTGTTTCTATGGCATGTTGATACAGCACCAAAATGTGTATCGTTCGTATAGTATGGGAGTGGTTTATGTGTTATGATACAGCATCAAAATGTGTATCCACCATGAATTTCGAAAGTGTTTTTAAGATGAGTCTTGTTCTCATTAAGTTATTTGGCTAAGTTTTAAGCCTCGTTTTTAAACTCAAGGTTTAAAAAGAAATGGGAAATGAAAGGTAACATGGAATTAAATGTCATGAAACTCCTATGTGATATAAGTGAGCGTATCGGTGTTGACCATCTATCAACTGCTAATCTTTTAGTCATTGTTCATTGCTGGTTTAGTGTATTTCTGCTGGGCTGTGGCTCACCCTTTATGGGACATTATTTTCAGGTACAGGTAGTATGCCACCTCCAAGGACATAGCTTGGCAGACTAGAGGCAGACAGACTCCTTTTGTTGTTTGCTTT